TGCGGTATATTGTAGCTGGCAGCTCCATACCACCAACCTTGATCTGTAGAAGCCCTGCAGGTGACAATGCTCGTGCACAGCCCTGACACCTGTCTTGTTCTTATCCCAGCAGACCAAACTCAAGACCAGGCAGCTTTGCTTCTGTCCTCATTTCAGCTGGGATAGAGTTAATTTCCTTACTGGTAGCTGGCATAGTGCTGTGTTTTGGATTTAGTGTGAGAGTAATGTTGATAACATGCTGATATTTTAGTTGTTGCTAAGTACTGCTTATGCTAGTCAAGGACTTTTCCAGCTTCCCATGCTCTGCCAGGTGCACAAGAAACTGGGAGGCGGCACAGCCAGGACAGCTGACCCAAACTGGCCAAACGGCTATTCCATACCATATGATATCATGCTCAGTATATAAACTGGGGGAGTTGGCCGGGGGGGCAGTAATCACTGCTCAGGATCTGGCTGGGTATCAGTCAGCAAGTAGTGAGCAATTGCATTGCGCATCACTTGCTTTGTATATTCTTTTATCATTATTACTTTCTCTTCCTCTGCTGTCCTATTAAACTGCCTTTATCTCAACCCATGGGTTGTGAAAAGTATACGTCATGCACTCTCACACAATCTTTTTTCTTCTCTGTTGTTTGGACTACTTTTCTCCTGTATCATACATGATTACAGAAGTTTTACAGGCTCTCAGGAAGTCTTATCAGCAGGAGTTACACAGAAAAACTGATGTACTATTACTTAACACTTTTTCAAGAGGAGCAAGGGAATGCAAACACTGTTTGCATAGGTTCGTGTATCAAAGAACAGAGACACACACACTCAAAACCCATGAAAATATTATTAGTTCTTTTGTTTACTCCCGCCTCAATCAAGAAGTGAATGCTTTTAGAAGTGAACTTATTTTTTTAAAACACAATTTCCACAAATGTATGCTTTACAGTGCAGTAGTTATACTCAAATTCTCACAATATCCATAAATCAAAATACCAAGATCACTACATTTACCATGAGCTAACAGACATTCACAAGTAAACCTTAGTGTCAGTTCAAAAAGATGCCTTCTTTGAGCTAAGGTACATAAGGCTTTACTGGTAACAAGTTCTTATCGAAAATTTGCTTTATTCCTGTCACAGCATCCTTTTTTGCTTGTTTTACTTTTTGTCTTGGTCTTTTTCTGCATCCAGAAGCGCTGAACGGATTCCTAGCTTCTTCAGCTCTTCTACAAGATCTCCATTCTGATGCATCTGGAGAAGTATATCACAGCCACCAACGAATTCACCATTGAGGTATACTTGTGGGATGGTAGGCCAGTTAGAGTAGTTCTTTACTCCTGCATAAGAAAAAAAAAAGTATTAAAGGCTTTCCCGCCTCTCCAAATAGAATGGGTTTTTAAACAGAATACATTGCTTCAGGCTGACAGAACTACTGATACTTTAATTTCTTCCCCATTGAGGCAAAAATGTATCTATATAACAGAAGCCCTATCAGAAAAACGATGTTGAAGTTAGGTTTGTTTCTCATTCCAACTCAAAGATGTGGGTTGAAAGATACGGAGTCAGTTCCTATACTGACTTCAAACAGGAGCTGGAAAAATGTAGCGTCTCTTTTCCCCTCCCAGGAAACAAGGAAATGTTACTTTTTAATCAATTAAATAAATGAGAAGTCTTGGAAAACATTGAAAACTGTTTACAATCAGTTATCCTTTACACTTCCCAAAGGGACTTTAAAATATTTTATGATTTTACTGAATTGACACAGTTATACTTACTACTGCAATTTCAATTGCAAGATACATTTGTCCCTCTAGCAGCCTTATGAATTTTAAATTGCTTTATCTTTCATTGCCAGACCTCACAGCCCATGGGAGGGGCACAAAGGCTTTAGTCTCTTAAAAGTACTCACTTAACAAAACAGAGCTCGAGTCACAATTATGAAGTACAGAATTAAAGTTTAAAACTATACTTCATAGAAGACAAATGTAAGACCATCCAAAAATATTAACTGATCAGCTGGTATAAACCGAAACCCAACTTGCACTTGGAGACATCACACAAAAAATTATACAGAAGAATCATTATTCCTCTTAGTCCAATACAAATGTGTTTAAAAAAAAATCCACTAAAATAGTAGTAATCTAGAAAAAAAATTGTTGTGACAAAGTGTTCCTAACCATGACGTACAACATCAGCTAGGAGATTTTGACTTATGATTTTGACAACCAATGCTTCAAAAGTCCAAAATAGCAAGTTTACCATATAAATCAAGGCCAAAGGGAACCCATAACCATCTAACCTGATCTCCAGCACCACCACTTGTAACTTCTTCCTTAGCATTTCATTAAAACCTTTCAATTTTTTAGATGCAGTTTGCAGAAGTTAGCAGTTTTGATGTGAACTTGTGTTTAGCAGTACTTTTCTTAATCACTTCTTGGCCTTTGAGCACTCAAAAGAGGTCAGTCCTAAAAATCTTTTAACCCACAGTAGTTGCAATGAAAAAACCGAGTCCCAGTGCTAAGGCACATTTAAGGATAACCCTACTCAAAGGAGCCACTGCAGATACAAAACAGGGTTTGTTTCTGTTAAGATATTGTAATGCTAAACGTGAATTGAGAACCAAGGGCTCTACATAATAAACCTACTGCCAATAAGCATTCCACGGTAATATTTACACCAATTATTCTCTCACAGAAATATTTCCTTCAAGGACCCAACTGCACATCCATACAAGCACTGATAGTACATTCAAGGATCTATCCAACTTCAGATAAAAATATCAACATAATCCAGCTTAGCTGCTCTGTATGCTGCATTTCATATATTGGACAAGCTGCTTTAAATGCCTGCATGCACGAGGTTCAACCAGATTACAAACTTAACACCTCCTGAAGCGGGTAACCAACTCCTAGCTTAGTAGAGCAGTTACTGACACTATTTCAGTAGTGTTAAAGCAAGCTAGCCTGGTCTGCGCTTGCTGCACTCGGGATGCGCTTTTGTGATGAATCCTCCAGCAGTACGGACACCCCAAGGGATCTCCTTCCCCCTCCCTGCAGGTTAACACTTCCTGCTGCGCTTCAGAAGCTGCAGTTTCTTCTTTACACCACTGTTTGCTTTGTAAAAGCACACTCCACAGATCAGGTTTACAGTTTGACAGCTGAGCTAGCACACTTCAAGGTGACTGCGAAACCAGAATCAGTGCAAAGTGCTACTGAAAGGGGTACCTAGGACACTCCCACCCCACTTCCCCCACTCCATTTACCAATTCTCAGCCTCTCTCTCGACAGCATTAGCACTAACGAATGATAGGCCACATCAAATAACTGACTCAAGCAACCACTCTCACTTCTACCACACTTCCTCCAGAAAAGCAAAACATTTTCATAGAGCTCATTAGTACTGGTGCAAGTACAAGTGATGGCAGGCTAGCCCATGGGTGGAAGGAAGGATCAAGACCACCCTCTTGGTAGCATCCCATGCTTAGATAATGTAAAGCAACAATGAAAACAATCTGAGGGTGAACAACAGTTCAAACCAGTTCAAACCACCACTTTTCCAGTATGTAATCCCAAGCTTCTCTGCTGCCTTAGTGACCTGAACCAGCCTAATGCTGTCCATCAGCTGAGAGCAGGATCACTTCTGGAAGAGCCAACTTCGAGAAACTTGAATTGCCATGGAGTCCAAGAGAGTGCCAAGGTCTCTTAAACCAGCTTTAATAAGGATTTGTGTCAGGGAAGCATATCCTCAGCTCAAGTTCAGCTAAATCACATGAAGTACCAATGACTATTTAGTTTCACAGATCTGAGTGTGCTTTTAGGTGAAGAGGCAACTAGGGGAGTTGTTTGGCTTTTACAGCTTGCCATACTTAAGCACAAGGCAAGTTTCAGCACTTGAACTATAACAACCTGAAAATCAGGTGTTTTAATAGGTACAGGAAAGAAACCAACCAGCACTTCAAACAGGCCTGAACCACCATCTCGGCAACAGCCTGCTCTTACTACAAATGGTATAAGCATACATCTATGCAAACATTTATGTTCAGCTGAATAGAAAGCTGGTGACAAGCTCACATACAGTAATCTTGCAGATCAATCTGTTCACTTTGAACAGATGCATTAGATATTTTCACAACTAAAGGCTCAGCTACCCCTCGCTAACCCCACATACATGCAGTGCAGATTATGTTCAGAGAGGGCTTAGGAAAGTGTCACATGCTGCATATCTAACTTTTCAGCACCTGAGGCCAGCTCCAGGAGGAGACTAAGAGGGCCTTCAGGCAGCCACTGCTGAATCACACTTGGCAACTTAACCGAGCTACAGCTTCCAGCAGCCCTGCCCTCTCCTCTGTCAGAGACTGCCATCCACAGAAGCAGGCACATACTGGCTTTTTAGGCTGCAGTAGGTAATAGAGTTGAAGCAGTATGACAGCCTGCTGGCCTTGAAAGCAGCCGTGTCGTTCCCCAACTCTTCACTTCAAGGCTCCGGCCCTGGTGCTGGCTCTGGCACTCACCTCACAGTAGAAGCTAGTTCAACTTGCACACCCAGTGATCCGGTTAATAAATCGAGCTGGCTCTCCATGCAGTCGGACAAGTGCCAAAGCTTGCGCATGGAAGGGAACAGAACAACTTCTTTAAGCACTTGAGAACCAGCAGGGTATTGTGCAAGTGTACACTCTGTTACTGCATTCAGTGTAGCTTAGCCAAACAGTCCAGATCAAACCACTAATTTCAATTTAAAGCTCAAGTAGCCAGGACGGCAATAACCTCTCAGACCACCTAGCATAAGCCAGACTTCACATGGAAGAAACATTTGCTGTGCTCAGAAGGGAGATGTTCCTGTTACACAGGAAGAAAATACTATATATTCACATGGTCAAGGCCCAGAGATTGTAACTGACAAATGCATTACCTGTTCAAGGGCTCATAAAAGCCCTCTCAACCAAAAGTGAAATGCTGATGGTTTGATTTCAAGGTTTTGTTTCCTCCTTCTTAGTTTACAAGTTTGTTCTAGTAAACCATAAGTTTAATAAATTTAGATATGTAAATAAGTTTAGCAAATTACCATGATTTGCTCACCTGCCAAAGGCAGTAGAAGATTTACTTGAACAAAACCAACATTCATTAACAAAAAATGTCATTGCACCCAAATTCCAGTATTTAGGTTTTTATACCATACCAACTATTATAGCTGTGAACCGAAGAGCAAGCAAGGATTGGAAAAATCAGCCTTTCAGCTAAAAGCTAATGAAAAACTGAATTAATCAGATGATACCAAAAACACAGGAGGAGCAAGTCACCCAATACACGCCAGCATATGGATTTAAAGCACATTTTAGTGTATTCTGGACAATAACTGTTAATGCCATGCACCTGCAAGACTAATTACTATGCACTTTTATCTTTTTTTTTGTTTTAAAACTTTCTCAAATAACCACATAAAACCTTAAGTCAGCTATGCACACTGAAGATGGAAGGAAGGAAGAAAAGCATTATGAGAACAGAGTACTATCCTTCTACAATTAGCAAAAACCTTTATATAGAATAGTTCCTACCACTGGAGCATTAATGGTGAAACTATTACTAAATACTTCTTGTGCAAATGATTTGCATGATTTCGTACTTATCAAAACAACCCTGTCAGGCAGTCCCAGCAGAGAATACAGTGGTATAAATCCAAGCCAGTCACGAACTTTCACCGTGCTGCTCACAGGGAACAATCTGACTAGATAATTAAGTATTTTAGGGGTCTTCTAATGGAGCTTTGTATTTCTTAACTAGGCAAGGCAGCGTGGCACGAAGAGCCCGATCTCCAGGAGCTACCCCGTAAGCATATCTGCAGTCTGCAGATAACTCGGACGCGCTTGCACACAGCGAGGGTTACAGAAACCAAACGGGGACGTCCAGGCAAAGCGACCTCAACAACGCACCTCTGCGATACGCTTCAAATTCCACAAACGCCGAGCCCCGGGCCGCAGGCCTGCTTACAAACCCCCACCAAAACCGCCAAGCA